AAAAATCATTACCAATGAAGATATATACCACGGTTACATTTTCGTCGATAATTCCATCAAAAATTTTATTTTCGTCAGAATTTTTCCATATCGAAAAAAAAGGTTTTTTTAGTAGTGTTTGCTTGCGAATTACTCGCTTCAGCGAGCAACGTCATTTTTGAAGGCCCATAGATCTTCTGTTACAAAAAACACCCTATAAGATTTTTTTCTAATCATTCTTGGACGACTTTGGAGGCAGAACAACACTGGGGAGAGGAAGGCGGAGGAATGGTTAAGGCTTCGCCGTGGAGACTGATTACTTCATTTTTTTTATTCTTTTGTTTAGTTTCTTATCTTTTTTTTAGTTTCCTTGACTATGTCAAGCTAGATTTCTTTATAGTTAGGGTTAGATGGAACCAATGAATTCCTTTAAATATTTATGCCTTTCTTGTAATTGATATTTAGTTTTATGTTATTCAATTAATCCATTTGTCATTCCTAGTTTTGTTTATGGACTGACCAATCATAGATAAACACATGAATCTTGCATGACAATAGAGATATTAGTGTAGGATTTTGATATGATTAATTGCTATATTTTGTGTAATCTAGATAGACTTATGAAATCTATGACATTAATTATTGTTCTTAATGCTTGCCCTAGGAGAAATCACTAAGGGATTAAGATTTTGAATAGGGTAAATGACTAAATCACCAAGGGATTAGGGTTTAATTAATTTAGAAAGAATTGTTAATAACATGAACTGAATGTTATTTATAGGAAATGGTAGATTCATTAGGAAGACATTGGGAAAATCAACACCCTAGTTACACTTTTGCATATTTGGTTTTAATCCGTTCTTGATCTTGATAATTGTTATTAGTTGGTAGCTTTATTTTTCATTTTTAATATTTAAATCATATTCCAAACAACTCTTAAGGTGGATCCAACTTTGATCGCATAGATAAATTATTGCTTGATAAATCAATTCTCGTGAAAACGATGCTTTACTCATTCACTTTATTATTTGTACGACAGGTATACTTGCCGTGATCGGAACAAAAATATGATTACAAGATATTTTTCAATAAATTTTTTTAATTCCAGATATTTTAATATTTAACAAATTGTTTACCAAAAAAAAAATATTTAACAATTTTAAATTCGATTAATTAGATAGAAGACAGAATAAGAACTTGCTCACATGGTATATAAGTGATAAGTGAGTAATGCGTGTTGGAACAATTTCTTCTTCTTCTTAAAGAAGAACTATGAGTAAAAGACATTGTACAGCGCATTTAAGTGTAAGAAATCGCACCTCTCATATTTATAAAGTGTCAGATATCTTAAATGTTTTAATTATAACGCATTTTTTTTGGAAACATTATAACGCATTCTTCTTGTAAGAATTTGAATTGTGCAATCCGACAATCTTCCTTTAAAGACATCAAAACATAGACTCCGCTGATAACACACGTGTATATGACCTCAGATTAAAATATATTTTTCTTTCTATTTGCAACAGTTGTTCTTAATTTAATTCATATGCAGAAAAATAAATAATAATTTAGTCTTTGTATATACGTACAATTGTTTTTAATTCGATTCTTACAATTATAATAGCTTAAGTTAAAATTATAATATGGTAAAGTATAAGGATAATGATATTTACATATATTATATATTTTTTACATTCGTGATAGTGATTTTTGATTTGGTACTTACCCTCGTGTCAATCTACGGTATTTTAATATGGTTTAATGTCTCTTATAAAAATATTATATGAGATAATTTTATCTCTTACAAATATATAAAGATACGTGGAATCCATTTTTTTTTATCTTTCTTCTCTTCACGTGGCCCAACATGCTTTTATGTATGTAGAAGATAATTTCATCTCGTATAACATAAGAAACATCAAACTCATTATAATAGCAACAAATAACAAAAATGATGTTGAAAATAACTGTACAAATAATATTTAAATTAATTTTTTATGCATAACAAATTAAAAATGAATATCACATATAGGAAAAAGGGGCATGTTATTCTTACATCAAATCTAGGTCATTAATTTGTTGATATCTAACGGTTCACATATATAATAAATTTGAGTCATTAGATATAAATAGAATTAACGACTAATGTTAAAAGTGTAATTTACACTAGTGTAAAATGATCCTGACCCATAAAAAAATGATATGTTATTCTTATATAAAAGTGTAATTTATACTGGTATAAAATGATACTGAATCATAGAAAAATGATAGGTTATTCTTACACCAGTGTAAAATAATTTTTTTAAACCAAATCTTGATAATTGATTTGCTTGCATAAAGACTCACATATTTAATAAATCAGAAATATAATCAATATTCAAGATTAAGAGTGTAATTTAAATAATATATATTTAAACCTATAACACTCCAAATTGTTCTCACGAGACTTCTCACGTAACATAATTTAACTTCATGATTCGCGTAGATCTTATTAAATTCTGCTTAATTTTGCTTCTTTCTGTAACTCTTGTTCGTGTGATAACGCTATGAATGTACTGAATCATATGCTAATATATGGATACAAGTATGTCTATGTACGATACAATACGCTATATTCTGAATCAGTCACAATTGTTAGAACACATACATATCCCATATTACTAACAACCTAATCGGAGAATATTAAACACATTCAACTGAATCAAGTTTTAACTAAACTATTTAAATCATTTCACACTCTTCTTTACTACTGAGGATCACTAAATTCCATTCCTTCATTACAGGATGCATGTTTAATCAGTTGAACATTAAAACAAGTTCAGACCATAACTTTTATTACCATCACATAAATTTCTTATTTATATAGCTATTGTCATAACAATCCAGTGCTAAATGATTCTAACATTGAGAATACGTTGATCATAGAGAGTATACTATGTCTATTTGGATGACATACAGTTAAAAGCTTAGAGAATTGTCATTAGCATTCAGCAAAAAATTGCTAAACACAAATTGAAATAATGATTGCAAAATATATCATGAAAGAAACTCCGAAAATTCTGACATTGTGAAATTTTTGTGTTTATATATAAGGAAAAGTGTGTGTCATTTTAAAAGATATAAAGTTGCGTCATTTTAAGAAAGAGAAAGAAATAGATAAAAGAGAGGAGAGAGTTGACAAAAAAAATAAAGATGTGAATCTCACATCTTTGTAAGAGTAAAATGACATAACTTATATCATTTAAAAGAATAAACATTTTTCGCTTTATATATATACTTTTTGTTAAAGAAGAAAAGACAACCACACAGGTCCAAGGGTCTCTGATCGCATTAATAGAAAGGAATTAATTGGTGGGTTAATCGCGCAAATTCTCCCTACCCTAGTCCAAAAGGAGGCTTTCTCGGGAATAGAGAGCACTGAAGTTTGGAAGATAGTGAATTAAGCAGAAGTAATCGATCAGCAAAGAATAACTAAGATGATTTTGGCACGAAAATATATGCACCGTGAGCCATTGACAACGACCAATCGAATTGTATAGTACCATTCATTTTGAAGTATGATGCTAAGTCACACAACTCGTAAGTACTGTAAACGCAGCTAAAAGCTTTACCTAACTAACTACTTTCAGTAGCCAATTTTTACCCCCCAATAGTTCTGAAGTAACTATAAACTATGAAAACTCAATCCACCTCAAAGAATTCTTTTAGAATAGAAATATTTTCACACAACTTTTATTCATTTTAAAAAAATTTATTCATATAATATTTGTTATGTTTTCTTGATGTTTTTATCATCATTGCTTAAAATCTAAAAGGTTATTAACAGATTTTAAGATACCAACATATAATTACAAAGCAAACTTAAGACAAGTAATTATTAATTAGTCAATAAGAAAGTATAAATATAATGAAATTAAAAATAATCCCCCATACCAACACCATCTGGGGAGGGGCATAAGTACCGTAATCCTTGGACTCGTATCCGAATTTTGGATTAGTCCCATAGGCGGCTCAAAGAGTCGAACCCGTGAAGATACCGGGAGTTCTGATTCGCCTCAAAGAGGTAATTAGGATCAATTACCAAAAAAAAAAAAAAAATCCCCCATTAAACAGTGACTTGCAAGGTAATTAAGGAAAATTCTTGTATGCGTCTTATATATCTTTGCATTATTACAAATAATTTGTTTTTATAGATTTCAACTCAGATAATCAAATAGCATTTTATCACTGCTTCACACTCACTCTCTTAGAAATCATGAAATAAAGTGGTGTAAAAAGACTATCATATCGATTAATTAACAGTGTTTGAAGAAGGTGGTTGACAAATTGAAAGCATTTTTAATTAATTAAAAAACACAATTAATCGTGGTCTATTACTATAATTTACATACATATCCTTCAGTATGTTGCTGATTGATCATCATACGAATAGATTTTTCTTCTTCTTCTTCTTCTTCTTTTCTTTTTAATTCTCACGAAGTGTCTCCTACCATTTGAGTTTGAAATTAATTATTGCCTGGAGGTAAAAAAGTTAACACTTCTTAAAGTGTTCTCTAAAATTTTATTTTTTGAGGTTACAAGCACAACTCATTTTGGGGGGGGGGGGGGACTTTAGCTTGTTTAGCATTTGAGGGGAACATAAACTTCTTTTCCCTGTACACTTGGATGAAAGGGACATATAATTCCTTTTACCTTTTTATCAGATCCAGTCCCTAGCTAGTAAAGTGAAGAATGTCCTAAAGAATGTCTTGCCATCTCTTCCTTTATTTTTCACAGGGTCAAAATATATATGTGATCTCTATCAAAACATAAATGAAACAATATCGACTGATTCCCCGCTCCTTAACACACACACACACACCCCGGGCGCCCCCAAAGAAAAAGAAAAAGAAAAGAAAAAATGGAATATAAATAATATTATACACTTAATCTGGACCCGCCCATAATCGGATTAATTAGTTGCGAAACAATGAATCGATTGGAATATTTTTTAAAAAAAATATTATAAACTTACACCGGAACAGAAATATTGCTCTCATTCCTCAAGCTGTCGGTGCTCACCAAATTCTAAGTTTATCAAAATATACATTCAATTATATGCTATAAAAGAAAGGCACCATCAACCAAAAAGAAAAAAGAAAAATACACAAGTTACAAAAGAAGTGGTACTTATTATGTCATAGAAAATGGACAAATCAATATAATGAATTAAAACTGATCAAAATCCAAAGAAGGTACTTGCATCAAAGTTTTCTCACCTCCATGATCAACCTGCATACTGAGACCACCAGACCCCACTTGAGAAAACTCATGAGCTTGGGTTTGATCTGGTGACACTACTTGGCCAGGATTCGCTGGTGGATTATTCAAGTGGCTTTCAGATTGTAGAACAAGTTTTCCTTGATTATAAAGATTGCTCAGTTGATTGAAGTAAGGACAAGTTCTAGAATCGAGGGATCTCTTCCTATTCACATCCTTGGTTTTTCTGAAGTACTTGTTTATGTTCTCCCACTTCTCTTTGCATCTCTTTGCACTTCTTTTGTATCCCAACTCCAACATCCTTTGTGAGATTCTCTCCCATAGAGGAGCCTTGTTTCCTTCCTTCTCTTCATTGTTGTTATTAAGACTACTGCACCTGAGGTTTATCAGTGCTAACACTTCGTCTTTTGGCCATCTTCTTCCAACATCGTCTTTCTCAGTTGTGGATGTAAGGTTTGAGGAGGCCTTATTAGCAATTGAACTTGTCTCTAATGGATTATTATTCGGAAAATTTAGTGAAGAACTAGGGTTCTGGGGAACTGGGGCTGAAGTTGAAGAAGAAGGAACTTGTGATTTATCTTGGGCAAGACTTGAGCTAGGGTTTTCAGCTGAGAGTGCATAACATGTAGTGGTTAAAGCTTGATTTAGAATCATAGTAGAAGAAGGTGTTGACTGAAGACTTTTCTCGCCAGCAGAAGAAGGATTATTAGGGTTTTGAGAATGCAATGGGGAAGAAGTAATAATGCGGGTATTTGTGTTTGAATCTTTTGTTACCTTGTTTTTGTCTTTTCCATTTCCTCCTCCAAAGCTATGACTTGCAGACGAACTTTCAGAAAATTTCTTCAAGAATTCAATTATGTTGGTTTGTCTATCACCAGCAATAGCTTGTTCCCTTGCCATCATCTCAAGCTCCTTGTTCATTTTATCCATCTCTTGCTTCTTCCAAGCTTCCTCTCTTGTAAACTTCTCTTCATCCCTTTTCAGCATATCCTGAAGGAGCTTGTTGTGCATCTCTTCTTGTTGAGCCATCATGGTGTGGACAATACTCTCACAAAAACCCTTGAAAATCTCAAACCTATCAGGCCTCTTCCTCTTACTCCGGTCCTTTGTTTTTTCCAAACCACTTTGCTCGTTTTGTTTGGTCACTGATCCGTCAATATTAATGTTTCTCGATGAATCCTCTTCCATTAATGCATGATGATGATGATGATGATGACCCATATTCTTGTCTTGTCCCTCGCTTGGCTTTTCACTCCCAACTTGATCAGGGTTTTGATCACCTTGATAAAGCTCTTCAAGCTCACTGAGAAACCGATAACTCTTGTTGTAATTAATGTTGTTGAAGTATCTACTTTCTTCTTCAAACTTCTCCTTGCACTTCTCTGCACTCCTCTTATAACCAAGCTCTGCTAACTTCCTGCGCCAAACATAAATATATAAATCCAAAAAACAACAGTAGAAGCATTTATTTTTTGTTATGTGCTCCGCACACAGAGTCTTCAACATGTAATAATAATAGACAAAATGGGTTCCTTCAATTTTCGTCCGTTCCCTCGCCGGCCCTGTTAATTTTTCTCTCGGGGTGTGTGTGTGTATGTGTGTGTCACGGTGTCAGTGTTTGAGCTAAAGTGTAGGTGCACGTGTGCCTTTGTCTACCACATGAAGGTAGCATATGATGCAACCACTGATCAAACACAAAGTCCACCTCATTAATTTTTGTATTAATTAATTAACGAATTTAATGCTATGAATTTTTTTTTATATTCTTTTTTTTTTTTGGGATGATCATTGAAATTCAAAACTAAAACTTGATCGACTAGCACAAAACAAGTTAAAGTAAAACAAAATTTAAATTGCAATGATATATGGATATGATTATGTTAGTAAGTTCGTAAGTATACCTTGAGACATGTTCCCAAGTGAGCTCTGGGAACCAACTCTCCATGCTAGATCTGATCCTTAACAGTGCAAGCACTTCGTCGTTACTCCAAGGATCAATCAGCTCGGGTAACTGTGCTTGATCTCTTTGAATTTCTAAGCTCATTGACACTGTACTGTTTTCTTCCTTCTCTTCTTCATGTTTGTGGGTAGAAGAGTGGTGTTGTAATGGGTGCAAGAGATTGTGTTGGAGTGGCAATTGATGATGAGAAGGGTTATAAGGATCAAAAGTAGGAAAGTTACTTGGGGTTGCAGAAGCATGTAGAGGGAAGGGTAAGTGAAGAGGTAGTGAGGTCCTTGGAGTTATGAATTGATGGAACTGGTCTGGTACTCCATCGAACATGTTTGTGTTTTGTGTAAGAGTTTTCTTTCTCTCTTCTTTGTACCCTCTTCCTTTCTGTGCTCAGTGTAAATCAGCAAAATGCTACTAGCAACTTTACAAAAACACCACTCTCTCTCTCTCTGTCTCTCTCTCTCTTTCTCTTTCTCTCTCACATTTATCAAAGAATTTGTCCTTGCATGGAGGGGGAAAAAATAAGGTAGCCCACCACCACACCCTTGTAGAGGAAATTGAACTCACCACCCCCAACAGATATAATTCTATACAATAAAAAAAAAAATGTGGTTTCCTTGAACAAGTCAATCAAACCACGTTACAAATAAAAGGTATATTCAATACATTTCAACCTTTTTCCTATTTTCAAATAAAATCCAAACTCATCTTTATCATCCATTACAATGAAGAAATTTTAGGTAGCCAGGGAGTCTCACTCTCACAAATCACATGTTTTTAATTAAGAGAGAATAATTGGCATCATATAGGATAAGTGAGTCTAAAAACTGAAACGATTTTTATGTGTCGTGGTGTTACTGGTTGGTTTGTAGCTAATGTAGAAATGAATGCAGTTCCTTCAATTGGAGGGAAAGAAGAAACAATTATATTGTATGATATATGATTGGAGATTGGAGAAGACGCGCGTGGGTGGTGAGAGTGTGGTTTGGGATGGAAAATTATATTACCAAAAAAAAAAAAAAAAAAAAAAAGTAATAAATAATTTTGGTTGTCACTGGGCCATTCGAATCCTATGCAGTAGCTGATGCTCATGATGGTGTAATTAACGGCATCCGGATAGCAGGACACGTGAAAACATGCAGAGTGTGGGACCATTTATTTAAGGATGGGAATCTTCACATGGTACAATGGAATACAGCGTTATACTACAGCTTCATCACAGAGCCCTTCCTCTCTCTGCTCTTGTTAACAACTCTCAAGATATTTCAATTTTTTGAAGCATATGTTGGGCCTACTATTACATGTATATTTTGGATCTAAGAAAACCAACAATAAGAATATTTCCCCCACTTTCAAGGATTTACTTTCCGCTTTCTCTGCGAGTTTGCATTTTTAAGTCTGTTTATGTACATATGATCTCAGCATCACCATGCACATTTCCCCCCCTCCCTCATATGGTTGATGTTCTTTTCATTTTCGTCCAATTAAGATTTCAGCCTTCCCATAAAATACATATAATAAACCGATATTATATAATTGAAAGTGGTATATATGTGAGCTGAAATTAAGGTTAAACTTAAACATGTTTATAAGAAGAAGAAAAAGAAAGAAAAGAAGAAGCTTTGGGGTTTGGGGTAAGATGGTTAAAGGTTGAAAGTTTTGACCAACCAGCTAGAAATGAGTTGTGGAAAGAGATGTGTCATAACCTGTTGCTGTAAGATGGGCTCAATCTCAGGCCTTTTGTGCCTGGCTACCTGCCAGTCTTTGCCCTACTTTTTGAGTGTTGACCCACTTGACTGAACCATGGCCTCAAGTTGTACCAAACTTCATAACAAGCGAGCTTGGAGGCGCATTTATTTTATTTATTTTATAAGTTCTCTCTCTCTATCTCTATCTCTCTTACACCCAGTTTTGGAATAGAATTTTGGTTCCATATGGACATGAATTTGTCTCCTATCATATTTTTAGTTTTATCTCAGACTTAATTATCAAATGGGAGCGGGTTTTAGAGGATGAAACTTGCACTGGACATGCCCAAAACCAAAACATAAGGGTCATATAAATGGGCCTGTTTTTCTTTTTGTTGAGTAATAATGGGTAACAACTAATAACTATATAAATATTCTGTTAATGTTGCCGAGACAGGATCATGGGTTTTGGATCGTTGATACACTCTAGGCCACAGATTATAATTGTTTCTTGTGTGGAAATAAGAGGAAGTACAAAGCGTCAAAGCCCATTCCATGCTCCAACCTAAAGTCCAATCTTTTGTTCACAGCTCGGACCGCATAGAGTGGTCTACATGCGTTGACAAACGTAGTATCACTGTAATGCTTTCGCCCGGCTAGGCTCCTATTTTAGTTCGGATAAAAAAAAAATTACATATCAAATTATCAAAATATTATTGTAATTTAATTTATTATGAACAAAATTTATTATAAATTCTAGCATATTAATCTAAATTATTTACTAAATAATGTCACATAGCATTAAAATGTAAATGAACAATTGCCAATAATTATATATCAAAGCAAATGTATAAAAATGCACTAACATTTTCGGTAAGAATTGCACTTTTCTCCCACATTATAATAAGTAATGAACCAAACATTGTCCTAAGGATATGAAAATACACAAATATAATAATTGTATGTGAGTGAGGATATTCTAACTACCAAAAACTTTCACTACTAACTTACTAACCATCACATCACCATTGGATCAAAGAGAGAGAATGTTAAAAAGTTTTTGAAGAGAGAGAAAATGTTAATCTAATGGTGATTAGATAGGTAGTAAGTTGGTAGTGAAAAATTTTGGTAGTTAGAATATTCCTCCTAATTGTATGTATAATAACATTTAATAAATAATTTAAAATATAATGAAAATTTGCATACCTAAAATTATAAACGACGCTCTTTTAAATTAATGAAATCTTTAAGGATATAATCTGTAGTAAAAGGTTCAGCAGCCTCTTTTTCAATATACACAACCAAATTATTTGCAAGAAAGTCATCATCCATTTTGTTTCGAAGCCTTATTTTCATAATTTTCATTGCTGGAAATGCACGTTCACTACTTGCTATTGAAACTGGTAGTGTTAAAATAAGACGAATTAGCCTATCAACCAAATGATATAATTTGACTTTCCTGTCTTAGTTAATCCTTGACACAACTCAGAAATTGAAGATAAATTTTGGAGTTATGGATGTTTTGGGATGTCCTTGTGGAAATGCTTCAATTGACAATTCAAATTAATTCACTCTTGCTCAGAAAAATCAAAAGGATAGTATTTATCTGCAAGGCTACAAATATCATCAACATTAAATGCTTTGTAAGCATTCTTCGGATATAATGAAAAATTAAGTGATAAAAGTTCCATTATTTGCTCAGTAAACCTTCTATTTAACTCTTGTAATTGAAAGTCAATGGTTGATTTAAAGATATCAAACTAATAGCGATGCTCAATAGTTATTTGATCATGTTGTTGACGACCACGACCTTCAATATATTGAGCATTAAGATCTGGAACATCTATTTCAAGTATTCTTTTCCAACCATCATCTCGCAATTCTTGAATAAGTTCGTATGTACTTGACACTAATTGTATAACATTCAAAATATCTTGGGATTTTTGTTGCAATGCTTGACAAAGAATTTTAGTGATGCCTATGATCTCTTTCATCAAAAGTAAATTAAAGATAAACTCAAAAAAAGTGATCATCTTATAAGCTGCAGTAGCATCTCCTCTTTTAAATTAATTTGAGCCTTCACTACGAATTTTTTCAAGTACTGAACACGATTCATTATACCCTCATTGAAGATTGCATATAGAATAAAAATGAGAACCTAATCTAGTATCACTAGCACTCTTTAGTGTACCTACTTGGTTAGAACCTGTACCAGTTTCAAGCTCACCAATAAATTGCAAACATTCAAATTCAAGAATTTTGGCAGCTTAGAATTTATCATGACGTTTAGAAGATGCAGTGATAATATTAATGATGAAATTCAAATTCTGAAAAAATTGATAAATAGAAGAAAATTCCTTAGAGGCGACAATTAGTGGTGAAAGTATGATGGGCAGGGCTGGGCCGAGCTTTGCCTCGAAAAGCCCAAGCCTATGCCAAAAAATTCAATTTGGCTTGGCCCGAGTCTAGTACGAGTCTAACTGTTTGCCTGGCTTGACCCGTTTATAAAAAAAGTGGCATGTCTTGGCCCGTTAGCTATTAATTTTTAACTTCCAAGCAGAACCATGAATCAACTTCACAAAATACTCAAATTTTATTGCTAAAACAAAAATCACAATTTCAACATCCAAACAGAACCATGAATCACAACAAAACTCAACACAATCTGCATTTAAGTCACTTTCAAAAGCAAAATACTCAAACTAAATAACATATATTTTATTAGATCCAACAAACAAATCTATACTATGTAAATTAAAATAACTACATGAATCCAACAAACACATCATGATGCTTGTAGTAGCCAAAAACTTCTCTTCATCTTCTCCCCCCTACAAATACAATCCAAGATTACATAAGTTGGCAAGCAATTTGTAAATGTAGAAAAAAGAAGAAGAATAAAGAATAGAAAATAAAATAAAATTAAGAAACACAAAATCGTTTAAGTAGATTCATATAGGTAATCTCACATGCTGAGATATTGGTTCCTCTTACATAAAAAATAAAGTCAAATTTCTATTAAAATTTAATAGAATATAATTAAATTATAAAATAATTTCAATTGATTAAATTTATATCTTTTTTTTCTTCAAGTCATACCTATTACGTAGCCAATCTCCACCGTATATTCTTGGAAGGTATTGTTGCGAATAATCGGCAAGTGTACCGATCGTTCCAAGTAATAAAAGGATGAGTAGAGTATCGTCTCCACGAGGATTGAGGCACCGAATTTATTATAACTATTCCTCTCTTGTTGGATTAATGAAATTGGTTTGAAAATAATCGTGTTTTGTGGAAATTGAGAACAATTTAAGAAAGTGTGAATAATTCAAAGAATCTTTAGAAATTCAAAAACAAGATATTAAAGGTTGAGAAAATATTTAACAAAATATTGCGGTAAAGAACACCAACACCTTTATGATCCCCACCTTATAACTGAATTAACATTTATATTTAATTTATTCATTGATCAAACGATTCACCATCTTTAAATTGATTAGTTAAGCCCTAATTCCTTTGTAACCTTAACTTAATTAACCCTATTAGAATCTTAATCCCTTAGAAATTCTTTTTTAGGTTAAACTTTTGAATAAGTGAATCCTTAATGTTTGCAGTTCATGTAGCCTATCCCTAGTGCATACATAAATAATTACTTTCCTTTTGTCA